CCGCCGCAAGCGAGGGCGCCCCCGCCGGCGGCGGGCGCGCCTGGCGGCGCGAACCCCCCGTCGTCATGCGCGCTCATGATGACGCCGTGACTCATGAGTACTTCCCGACGAGGATGATGCACGCGCCGCCCGCGAGGAAGCACCAGACCACGACCAGCTGCGCCGCCCAGTGTTGCCGCCGCAGCCAGGGGCCCTTGGTGCCCAGCGCGTTCATGTGCTCGATCGCGACATACAGCAGCATTCCACTGGCGATGGCGTCCATCACCCCCAGCACGATGAGGTACCTGAGCGGATAGAAAATTGTTGGTCAAATCAGCGTGCGTTGGTGGGGGTGCGGGGTGTTCGGCAGGCCGGACGTGGGTTTTGGGGGGGGGGGGCGGGGAGAGGGTTGAGGAGACGTTTTCGCAAGCCCGGCGCCCGAATCGGTGTCTTGGCAGACAGGGGGGCGATGAGGGTTGCGGCGGTGTGAGGACGCGCTCCGCCCGCCAGACAGCTGCCATTTGGGGGCTCTGCGGACGCCGAGGGGCCCGGCCCCGGCCGCGGCAGGACGAGGCGTGCACGGCGCCGCAGTCCCCGGCTCGCGCTCGAGCCCCGCGCGCCGCTGCTGGCCACGGCCCCAGAGGTGCGGAGCGCGGCAGCAGCCTATCTCCCCCTTGGTAAAACGCTTCATTCATAGTGTCCCTTCTGATCACAATCTGCTCACCGTGGATCGTGCATGTCGAGCACCGTCCGCAGCACGACCCCCAGCGCCACCCCCGCCGGCGCCGTTGCCGCGAAGCACGCGCCCAACGCCGCCAGCGCGCGCGCGCCGCAGCGCGCCTCGAGCGTCGCGGCGCCGACACTCAGGCCTTCCAGAGCCTGGTGGACTGACACGGCGAGCAGGAGGGCGTAAAGGGACTCTGAGCCCTGCAGTCCGAGGGCGATGCCGACTGGGGGGTGGGGAAGGGCGGCGCGGCGGTGTGCGTGAGCTGGTGAGCGCGTGTGTGAGTGTGTTGTGTTGTGTTGTGTGTGTGTGCGTGTGTATGTGTGCGTAGGTGTGTGTGTGTGTGTACATGTGTGTGTATATGTGCACGCGTGAGCTTGTGCATGCACCGATGTGTGTGCAAGAGTGTGCGTGCGTGCACGCCCGCACACGCCGGCACACACAGGCACGCATGCGATGTTGCAGGGACAGTCATCATGTGCAGTGGTTGTGTGCACGCGCGGGAGCCGAGGTTTGTGCAGAACAGTGTTTCGAGGCCCGGCGACCCGAGCATGGGCGGCAGCGCGCTGCTGGCGACTGGGTGCAAGTACGCGGCGATGCACACCTGGAATCGAGTGGGTGCAGATCGACGCCTGCGGGATGGGTGGGGCGGG